CGGATGTTTCGTCTCCAAATGGCCTCTTGGCTTGTTAGACTTCAAACTGTCACAAGCTACACAGACAACACACTGCAGTCTCTCCTTATTACCCACGATGTGCGGGTGAAGCCAACAGCAAGATGTGCTTAGTCACATTTAAAGCTTTCTGGATGGAGAGCGAAACGTCTCGGCACAAAAAAGAATCTGTCCAGATGACCCGACTGAACACGGTTGGATTTGTCATATTTTCTACTCTTCGGCTCAGAGGGAAGTTGGTTTGGAATCATTTTTGGTGATGCTTCAGTTTCTGCTTTACGTTTAGGATAAGACATCATGAATCAAGTAAATGAAATGTTCTCACTTTAGTTAAAACTCAATGACTGCTGTAAAGGGGAAAAAATGGTGGTGAGTGACTTCATTTAAAGTTCAACTAACTTCAGCTTGGACTTACCACTTCAAAGCTTCCAGGTGCAACGATCAGGTTGTCGATGACGTTATTGATCTTCGTAACTAAAGACAAGATGGAGGACTAAACGCAGGAGAGACAAATAACATGATCAATACAGTGTCTGATCCAAACAGGAAGTGGGACGTTGGTGGGACAATGTGTGCTGACCTGTTCAGCAGGTGTGGGGCTCAGGTCCTGGTTCCTCTTCAGGAGACATTCGCTGAAAGTGGACTCATCAGGAGCGGGTTTCACTCTGGGGAAGGCCATCTCACACTGACGGAGGACAACAGGCTGCGTTAGTCCTCACTACCGTTGCAATAAATACGGTTTGACTGGGACATGATCAACATGACGGGAGGTCATCATTCATTCATTCAACCTTCATTTATACAGGTTAGTCCCACTGAGCCTCGGGGAGTCATTTACAAGAGACCTGATGGATAATGACTCCAGGATGCTGCTGCTGGTGCAAACAAAGATGTGGGACTACGTTTATGAGGGGCGAGGACGTAAAATCTACTTTTGGACGTGGAAGATTCTGAATCAAATGTGAAACGTCAGAAGCTGGGTTACCATAGCTCCCTGCAGCAGAGGTTTGTTGCAGGTCTCCACATCTTTTTCCCTTTTTTTTTTTTTGCTTCATCGAGCCCTGAAGAATAAACTGTAGGTCTGTTTAGTTGAGGTTAGATGAGTGTCTTTACATACATGTTCAAATGTCCAGTGATAAACAAGCAGCTCATGTTAACTTACTATTGAAAACCCATAGAAAAGCTAACATTTATGCTAATTGTTGGTCAGCAGCCTGAGATTGATGCAGTTTAACATCAACTTACAAGTGTTCATGAAAAATAAGGCAGTGAAGTGGGAAGATGATCAAAAGTAAAGGATAATTGTTTAATGAATCGTAGTGCAGTCCTCTGAATTGTAATCCAGCTGTGTGACACAGAGCCAGCCTCTCCACTCAAGACTCTTTCAAACCTTCACTAATAACTCAAGTTTCACACCTGCATCTGCTGGGGATTTGTACTCACCACATATAAATCAAAGGGGATGTGTGGAACGAATGGACGGTACCTAAACAAGAAAAGAATAATGTTAGATTTGTAAGAAGAACTTCACTAGTTTGATGATTTCCTTTTCTCAACACGCTCTGAGGATGAGGCAGCTGTGAGGTCAGTGCTGGACTCTGATGGCGTTTGTGAAGAGCTCGAGCATCGAGTTAAAACTAAAAGTGAAACATTTAAAAAAAAATGAATGGAGCTAGAGTAAAATACAGACTACACATGCGGTCGGGACATGAAGGCTCCTACAGTTTTTAATAAACGGTGATATCTCAGTGTTGAACAGCTCTCCACCAGCCAAACGTCTGCTCTCTCTTTAAAAATGATCCAAATGAATGTCAAGAGTTTACCTTTGAATTCACCCATGTGGATTGTGACAAGTGATTCACTCTACTGCACAACACTGGGGTCTTTGACCCACCAGCAGGAAACGGATCAGTGTGTACTTGTGACGTCATTCTGTACGAAGGTTTTCAGCTTCCTGTTGGAACCTCTCACACTTTAATCTAAATGTCCGGGATAGTCTGTGGTTCAGGGTCCTGCCCCAATGATGACCGACCCCTGACCTTTCCACTCACTTGAACAGAGTGAGATGGAGGAGGATGACTCGCTGTGGCGACCCCTGAAGAGGGAGCAGCTGACAGAGGTGGTAGTAGTGCAACCATACTTTTTAATTCAAGGCCTAGCATTCCATGCATGTTGCTCGTTCTCTTTTATACCAGTTTTCATGAAGAACCATCTTGTGATGGACAGGGAGCTGCAGATGTTTTGGTCAAACCTTGTTGGTGACAACAAGTGCTATGTCATGTGACGTCACAATAATTGTTTCAGCTCGATGACTCCGAGCTACATCATGTCTTTGTTAAATATCTGTAAACGTGAGAGTTATAGTGAGACAACAAGGCAGCCATCTTGAATCCAGTTGCTATCAAAAATTACTCAGTTATTCAAATGATAGTTTCATTAAATCCATGCGGTGGTCCATGAGATATTTTGCTAACAAACAGGGTTTACACAGTTATTAATGGTGTGATCACTCTCAGCTACTACCACACCAAGTTCTGGGTGAGTATTTGTCAAACTGAGTTACATTCATTTATTGTTGATAAGATTCCTTTAGCTGTGGGAGCCATCTTGGCTGGGAGATGATCAGCAGCAGATCTGAAGACTGCTCGAGCTTCAAGTGTAAACTGTGGTTAGGAGACATTCTGCTAACACGACAGACCAACAAAAACATGATCTGTTTGTCTTTCGGGGCCGGGCGATAACAAGGCCTGATAATAACAACAATAATAATTAATAATAAGAGTTCACCTACCCCTGACCTATTCCTCCGCGGGCCCCGAAGCGGCCTCCTCGGCCCCTGCCGCGGTCTCCTCTGCGCAGAAACAATCACGTTAACCGGTTTTACATTCAACGAAGTGTTAGCATGGCGGGTAAACAAGAAATCAACCTGGAAACTGGGGTTAAGCAACAAATACGTCATTTTACTAACATTTAATTAACCAAAAACAAGACGCACGTTTCATTCATTCAGACACAGCTAATGAGCTAGCACACTGGCTGGACTCGGGACCAACTGCTGCTAGCAGACTGGACCAGGACTGGACACTAAAGTGCCCAGCTACAGAAACAGCGGGATAAATGGGACTGAGGGGAGTAGTAAACAGGCTAAACTCCATTAATGATATATATTTAAAAAAAAAACTAATCTTTTTCACATGTGCAGCTTAGCTTCCAGTAATTAGACGGAGCCGGGCCTAAGTTAGCAACACGGAAGCGAAAATTTACAATAACCGACCTGCTGTAAAAATGACTAACATGGTCAAATATAATCAATTATAATCACCTCATTCCGTATGCGTATTGCGACGTTTTGATTATTAGGTGAGAAAATACAGAGAGAACAGGTAGTTTTAAAACAACCCGGTGTGGCACAAAGAAGACAGTGTTCCGGTTTGTTTTCTTCTTCTTCGGTTTTTTTTGTGTGATAGTTGGAGATAACACTGTGCATAAGCGCCACCTATCGGAAAACATCCGAACTGACACTCGTGTTTTTTTCCCCCCTCAAGTTAGTCAAGTTGTGTTTATTGGTCATATGCAAGGTTAACACAAGGTTAACACAAGGTTAACACATGGTTAACACAAGGT